TCCTCTCCGTGCATTTGCATCCCTTCTGCCGAGGCTGCACGTGGGTTCACACTTGTGCGCAGCCCTGCGCGTGACGACGCTGGCTCGTCGCCGCTGCCCCGCTCGCTGGCTCACGACGCTCCGCAATTCTCCCCGATCCCACGCAGCCCGTGCGGTGATGCTGGCCGTGTGTCGCTCCACCCTCGCAGCCCAGAAGGCGACGCAGGGCAGGCGGTCGGAGCGGCCGGTGATGGCGGTAGTGGAGCAGATCGCGGTGCGCCTAATTCTCCCCCGAAACGAACGTACCGTCAAGCGTTGCTGTCGTTTCGGCTTCCGACGACCGTCGACAAACATCCTGCCGCCATCACGTTTGCCACAGCTCGTGCCACCGTTCAATCACGGAGGCACAAGCCGTCACGTGCTCCACCGGTGGATGCAGCCTCTCCGGCAACGACAACACGGCATGCCGAGCAGTCGGCAGGCGGTGCTGCGTCAACTACGCCAACGAGTGCGACTCCAGTGGCCGGCCCTTCTACTGCGACACCACTAGAGTCGCGCATCCAGTCGTCAGCCACCGCTGATGAGGAATTCGGAGAGGCTGCTGACTTGTTGTATCTTCAAGCTCTGCAAAATTTCAAGTCAGACTGGCAAGAGCGGTTTCCTTGGTTGCTCCTATGTCGTACTAAAAATGGCCTTCCATCCCTGCGATGTAGTGTGTGTACAGATCATGGCGTCCTGGGCACCAAATATGGTCGAGATGGGGAGGGCGCAGTTGACGTGCAGACACAGGCTATGAAGAGGCATGGGCGGTCAACACGGCACAAGGCATGCATCAAGGCGAAGAGGAAGGCCATGGAAGACGCTCAGAAGCAGAAGAAGATATCAGACTTCCCACAGGCCCAAGATCTCGAGAAGGGACGACTCATCGCGCTGCTGTGGGTCCTGCATTTCATCTGCCAGTGCGATGCGCCGATCAACACTTGGGTGAAGCTCGTCCGCTTCCTAGCGAAGCGGAAGTGCCCCGGCTTTCCAAAAAAGAGCTACGGAACCTACTACACCTCGTGAGTTTAGGACGTGAATGTTTTTGCCCGCTCCTCACTTATGCCTACGAATGCCTTGTCTCACGTGGTGAGCTCTACACCCCATGCAGATACGGCTTCACGCAACTGATGCAGTCTCTGTCAAACTGGCTTCATGCTTCTCAGCTACGCCACATTCACGCGAGTCCCTTCATTGGGCTGAGTTGCGACGAGTCGACTGACCGCACTCGAGGGAAACACTTGATTCTGTTTGTAACATTTCTGCGTGATGGGCATGTTGTGACTGAGTTCAATGCCTTGCTAACACTGGAACAGTGCGATGCAGCATCTATTCATGCTCTCATTCAGGAACATCTAGCCAAGATTGGCGTGCACCCCGACAAGATTGCCGGCATCAGCACGGATGGGGCTGCTGTCATGATGGGCTCCAACACCGGCCTCGTCACTCGCATGCGTGCCATGTCACCGTGGCTGGTGTCCTGCCACTGCATAGCTCACAGGTGAGCCACGGTGCATGTGTTTGCCTCTCACTTCCCGTTACCCGACCATGACTTCTGACGACTCTGGTGTCTGTACTCGCTGTGCCTCTCCAGCTACTGTCTGATCACAACGCTGATTCTTCTGCTGTTTCTGCTGTGTACGCAGGGAGGCCCTCGCTGCGAAGGATGCTGCAACCGCCGTTCCAGAGCTAGCAGTGGTCGACAAGCTCATCCGGACCATAGCTGAGTTGCTGGGTCGCTCTGGAAACTGGCACGCACGCTTCAAAAACCTCCAAGACGTCTTCACCCAGACGAACCTCGAGATGCAGGGTATTTTCAATATACGCTGGCTATCTCGAGGTGAGGCGATCGCCCGCCTCGTCGACGTTCTACCAGCTGTGGTCATTCTACTTCTTGAGTATGACCAGGAGATGTACAACATCGTAAAAAGCTACAAGTTTCACTTTTTCCTCTACTTTCTGGCTGACATGCTTGGCTTACTGAACAGCCTCAACAAAAAATTCCAAGCCCGCCAGGTTGGTTCCTTGCATGGTCCTATTATGTTTGTCTAATCGTGTGTCTCCCTGAGCTATCTGCCCAAGCCCTCTCCTACCACAGGTCGAGTTGACGGTCGTCCAGGGCCTTATTCGGAGGACCGTCGTCTACATCAAGCAGCGGTACGTCGAGTGCGGCAGCACCTTCGGGGGTGGCAACTCGCCGCTCCTCACTGCATTCATCGAAGCGCACCGCACCAGCCGCACCGTCACCATTGAGGGATGCAAGTCCGACGGCACATCAATCGTGCACAAGTTTGACATGCACGACGAGCGCCCTGGCGAAGACCACGACGAGTGTAGCAGCATCTGCATGAGATTCGCCAAGGCGACCGAGCAGAACATTGTTGAGCGGCTGGGCGACCTGGAGAAGCTCAACGGGTGCAGGCTCTTCACCCCGGAAGCATGGCCACCAGGGAGGAAGGAGCGGAACAGCCAGTGCATGGACTGGCTGCAGAGTTTGTTCGACCTCTTCCGTGCAGCCGGGCGTCGGGAGGTTCTGCCAGGTAAGCCGTTGCTAACCGTGCATGAACCCAGCTGTAACCATGCATCATGCCTGCGTGTCATCCTTATCCCCATACTAACGGCCTGCATCTATACCACACATTCTCCTCCCCTTGCGCCCTCTGATTCTGTGCAGGTGTTAACAAGAGGGCGGCAACCAGGGAGCTGCAGACTCTCATCTCCCTACTAAAAGATGCTCCCGTGGGGGAGCGGAAGTTCTACGAGGGGCTGGCGGCGATGCTGAAGTCGGATGACTGGACAAAAGCCTTCCCGAACCTGGGCCGCCTGTGGGTCGCGGTCGCAGTGCTGCCACTATCTACGGTGGAGTGTGAGCGCGGCTTCAGTCGGCAGAACATCATCAAGAGCTGGTGCCGAAGCAGCCTAGGAAACGCCATGCTCGAAAGCCTCATGAGCATGGCGTTGCTCGACTACGAGCCTGATTGGGAGGAGGTGGTGAAGGTGTTTTGAGGGAAGAAGCGGAAGCAGTTCTCCACCCGCATCCACCCCCGAGGTCGGGTGAAGAGCTTGAAGGGGAAAGAAAAGGTGGTGGAGGGGCCAGGGGAGGAGGTGGAAGAGGAGCTGGAGGAGGGGAACAAGGAGGGGAGAGGAGGGGGGGTTGGTGGAGGAGAGGTCGATGAGGATTTCTGGTATGCATCAGAGGGTGAGGAGGAGTGCAGCAGCGGCGGAAGTGAGTCAGAGGAAGACGAGGAGTAGCAGGTGGACCAGCAGCAGCAGCAGCAGCAGCAGCAGCAGCAGCAGCAGCAGCAGCAGCAGCAGCAGCAGCAGCAGCAACAGCAGCAGCAGGAGCAGTGTCAGACGCAACAACACCAACACCAGCAGCAGCAGCGGCAGCACATGGAGCAGTTGGGTGCAGCAGGAAGAGCAGTAAGAGTTCTAGCAGCAAGAGTGGCTGGCAGCATCAGTAGTAGTAGTATGCGGCAGTAAGTCAACACAAAAGGCAGCAGCAGCAGCACCATAGGCTGTGCTTTTCTAAAATTGTTAAACTACCAAGTGTATACCATGAAAACATTGAAACAAACAAGTCAACGTTCAGTCTAAACACATTGTGCTAGGTCAAAAGCAAACCCACCCAAAAAAAATGCAGAAGTTCAACACTAACATGTCAGGCCTGTAAATCTTTAGTCCTGAACTTTCAGCCTTCGAAATTTTTTACCCTGAAAAAATATGCATCTTTCAAAACCAGACCCTGAAAAATGGGGGTTCCTGCTGGGGGCACCCTGAGCCAACAGCCCCTCAAAATCCAATCTGAAGCCCTGGTTGTCACATACCAATACAAGGGTTCAAGTCAAGGCTTCCACTGTGCTATCAAGCACTTTGTTACAAGCAGGCCCCCAAATTGGTTTTGGGCTTGTCTGATTCATCAGACTTGCCTGCCATCTCTTGGTATGGCCTTCAGAGTCGCCCCCTAAAAAAAGTCTGAAAAATCAGAGTAACAATAATTTATTTGTCTGATTAATCAGAGTTACCATTGTTTTTAACTCTGATTTCAAAGTGAGTGTTTTGCACGTTACTTTTCCATTCCCTTCCCAACCGCTGCCCTCATACTTCTTGCTTGAGGGGCTTTCTCTCGCGTGCGCTCCCTACCGTATCTGTGTTCTGGCGGCGGCGCAGAATTTCGCGGCACCCTAGGCCCGGCCCCGCGCTGGTGCGGGTTTGGTTGATCAGCGAGGCTCATGGCAAAGCTGTGCTGTATTGTACAGTGCTCTTGCCAGGCCTGCCAGAAGATTTTTTTACTTTGATAATCTCCCAGACAGACTGACATACGATTTTAAAAAATTTAGGTGAGTCTTTCACGGGTTTCTATCCCTTCCCCTCCCCGTTCCGTGTCTAGTAATTTCGCGTGCCTGAGGTACGGCGACGATATCGGTTGGTGGAGAAACGGGATCGTGGCGAATTGCGAATGGGGGACGAAATCGAGGGATGGGGGCGGAAAAGAATTGGGGGGCGGGCAAATCAAAATTGCAGGGGAGGTAGGGAAATCGGGGCCATCCAGGTGGCTATTCGTGAAGGGCCAATGGGTGCCCTCGCACACACAGCCCGCTGCAGTGGCAAGCACACCTCTGCAAAATTTTCCAAGGGCCAATCGGCCCCTCACACCGCACGCATCACAAACTTGGAGGTGATTTTGGTGAAGGGCCAGTCACCTCCCTCACACAGCCCCCAGTACACATCGGCCAGCGATTTTGGTGAAGGGCCAGTCAACTCCCTCACACAGCCCCCAGTACGCATTGGCCGTTGATTTGGGTGAAGGGCCAATAACTGCCCTCACAAAGCCCCCCACAAGCATCTCGCCCTGATTTTGGCTAAGGGCCAATCAGCACCCCCCCACAGGTAAATCACGCTCCCCCCCCTAAACCTGGCATTACACAAATCAGAGTCGACCCCCCATACAGAGTTGAGGCATCAGAGTACACTAGTAAAAAAAGTCTGAAAAATCAGCGTAGGTACATAAATCTTCTCTGAAAAATCAGAGTAAGGTACAAAAAAAAGTCTTCCCAATCAGAGTACACCCCCAAAAAAACTCTGAAAAAAGTCTGAATCAGAGTAAAAAGTCTGCAATTTGGGGGCCTGGTTACAAGGACTTTGTTGGGCTGAGAAAAGCCCTTAGGATCTTTTACAGAGACTAAGTCCCAGCTGTTTGAGACTTGGAGTAGTGCAGCGGAAGTTGAGGCAGTTGAACCCTTGTACTAGTATGTGAGAACAAGTGATTGATTAAAGAAACAAGCATACAGCAATATATAGAAGATAAGAAAGCAGTTGTAGAATACAGTTACAGGAACGGTTTATCGAGTCGCACAGCGACTCGATTGCCGCTTCGGTTACCATCCGTGATGTTGTAACGGTCAGTCGCAACCTCCAGTTGCGACCTTTCGAGTCCTTTCGCATTCTTTGTCCGCCCCCTCGTGTAACCTCCGTTGACTCGCGTGCTCCCCTGTAATCTTCCTCGAGTACAGTGTTACACTTCAGAAACGCTTAAGTCCTTGAGATATTTCCAACACTCCCCTTCGTTTCTGGAGTGCTGGAGTGTTCAGATCCGGTGACGTTTGTTTGCCCGGTTAGGAGCATGCAGTAGTCGAATTTTGCTTTCGCCAATTTCTTCGTCAGATAATCTGCGGCCATTTCTGTCGTCGGGCAGTAACTGAGTTGAAGTCTCCCCTTCGCGATTTCATCCTTGACGAAGAAGTACCGCAGGGCGATGTGCTTGGTTCGGTTGGCGAAGCCGTCCTTGTTCGCGATTTTGATCGCAGATTGGTTGTCGCAGAGGAGTGAGAAGGCGGGCAGGGTCGCGATCTTCGCTTCTTCGAGTAACTCTCGTAGGTAGAGTCCTTCCTGGTCGCAGTACAAAGGGCGATATACTCTGCTTCAGCCGAGGATAGTGCGATTAACTCCTGCTTGCTCGACTGCCAGGAGATAGTTCCGATAGGTTCTAGTCGGTAGATGTAGCCCGTCCTAGACCGTCGATTTTCGCTGTCTCCCGCGTGGTCGGCGTCGACGTATCCGAGTAGTTGTACGGACGGTGTTGTTGCCTTGCTGTAGGTGAGCCCGATCGTCGGCGTGGAGACGAAGTAGAGTAGCGCTCGATTGAGTTCTTCGAGATCTTCCTGTTGCGGCTGCTTCAGATGTGTCGCCAGCTGACTCGCACTATAGGATAGGTCGGGTCGGCAGGTTACTGCTGCGAATAGTAGGCAGCCGAGCTTCTGTTGATACTCCTGGATTTGTTTCGCGGGGAGTTTTGTGGAGGCGCTACTGTTGTTCCCGTAGCGGTAGGGAGTTGGGACCGCAGTCGGTGCTAGACCGAATTTCTTCGCGACGGTGCTTGAGTACTTTCCAGCGTGTAGGTAGAACGCCGTGTCGTCTTCGACGATGTTCAGTCCTAGGTACTGGGTAACTTCGTCGGACACCGTGAGCGTCAATCCTTTTCAGCTCCCCTTCGAACCAGGTGCGATGTCGTGTGGAGCCGATGTAGAGCAGGTCGTCGACGTAGACGATGAGCAGAATGTAATCTCTTCCCTTCTGTAGTCGGTACATCCTTGGTCATGTGGTAGCTGTAGGAATCCGATTTTTACGAGCCGGCCGTGGAGATGCTGCTGCCAGAGCCGTGGGGCTTGCTTGATCCCGTAAAGGGATTTTTCCAGCGGCATACTTTTGAGGGTCGTCGATGAATCCGTGGGGTTGTTCGACGAAGATTTCGGCGTCCACAGGTGCGTACAAGAAGGCGTTTGCAACGTCGATTTGCCGTAGTGGTAGTTTCTTCGTGGCCGCGATGGCGAGTAGGATGCGCAAGAGGTGTGACGGGAGACTGGAGCGAAGGTTTCTGTGTAGTCGGTTCCGTATCGTTGATCGAAGCCTCGTACGACCCATCGAGCTTTGAATCGTTCGATGGAGCCGTCTGAGTTGGTCTTGATGCGGTACACCCATTTCCCCGAGAGAATGTTTTTTCCGTTGATGCTCGTTGCAGGTACCAGTTTCCATGTTTCTCGGTCTTGCAGAGCTTTTAACTCTTTTCCATCGCTTCCTTCCATTTGCCTTATGTTCCCCCCCCAGAGCCTGCGACAAGGTCGACGGCTCGCGCGGAGAAGGCGGCGGCGGGTGCTGGACGGAGACCCATAGTCCTAGGATCTGCAGTCCCGTGGCGTGTGTCGAGGGGAGTTTTCATTCTCGGGATAAGCTGCTTCATCACCGTCTTCAGGATCGGGTAAGAAGTTGGGCCGATGCGTTCGGAAATATTCGAGTCGACGGGGTGTGGTGTAGCGTAGCCTTGGTCAGCGAAGTGGTAAAAGGTGTCGAGGTTGTTGCTATCGAGGGGATTATCTTCATCGAGTGGAACAGGTACGGAGCAGTAGGGAGTGGTCCGGCAGCCTCCGAGGCTCCAGGACGTCTTCTTCTGCTGCGTCAGCCTCGGCAGCATGGTCAGCGAAGGAGCGAAGGCCCGCGAAGCCGTCGGTGGGGTCGTCTGAGTTGGCAATGTTGTCCAGGTAATGCTGCAGCGTCAGTCGCTCGTAGAAGATAACATCACGTGATGCCACCGTATTTTTGTCGTGTATGTCGAGAATCTTCCACGCGTGAAAATGTTTTGCGATGCCGAGGTGTAGTCCCCACCGAGCTCGTTGAGTGAAGCGTCCTGCTCGAGCTGTGTGGGGTCTGTATTGTACCATGCAGCCGAAAACTCGAAGTAATTTTGTGCTGCCCCTTTTTCCGTCCACAGCAGGTGCGGTGATGCGTTGTTGGGGAGCGATGACGAGGACAACAGGTTGTGCAGGTGGACTGCATGTGTCATCGCGTCTGGCCACAGTGTATTGGGCAGCCTCATCCCCAGAAGCAGTTTTCGCATCGTCGTCTGCAAGGTCCGGTTCATGCGTTCTGCTACCCCCTGCTGCTGGTGAGCATAGGGCAGAGACACCAGGCGTCGGATTCCCCTTTCCGCGAGATAGGTCCTGAAGCGTTGTGACTGGTATTCCAGTGCACCGTCTGACTGGAAACTCTTGAGTTTGGTTCCTGACTCTCGTTCGGCGATTGGAAGCCATGTGGTGAAGGCCTCGAAGGCTTGATCGCGCGTTTTGAGATTGAAGTGCCAGACGTATCTGGTTGCGGCGTCGATGAACGTGATGACGTAGTTGAAATCGGCTTCGGTGTCGTCTCGAGGCATGTTTAGAATATCGCTGTAGACCTTTTCCATCGGAGCGTAAGTGGGTGCGCTTGGATTGTGATGGGCTGGGAAAGGTTGATGAGGAAGATCTGCTTCGGGGCACGTGAAGCATCGTGCTCTTGGTCGGCGAAGTTCTTGGCCGCTCGTCGTTAGAAGGGCGTTACGTTCTAACACCTCTGCTTGTATTGTTTGTAGTATCGTGCTGTTTGCAGGATGTCCGAGACGTTGGTGCCAGATGTCGTCGGGAGCGCGGTGACCGGGCGAGCGGTGGTAGATGTCGGCGTTGGAGAAGAACGCGACGACCGAGGCGGGACTTCGACAAGCTTCTCGTGTGGCGGGCATAAGTTGGTCTGCTTCCGTTGGCGGTCCTCGTGTTGATGGTGGTGGTACTCGGCTGGGTCCTGCTGCCGATACTGCAGGTGATGGTTTTGTTGGGACGCTTGCTGGTACTTGTCTTTCTTGTCTGATAACTGCTAATGCCCGTGTTCTCTCTGCTGCAGGTATGGTGTTGGAGTGCCAGAAGCCGTCACTGTCGAAGTCGGGATCAAGATCTGGTGGGTGAGTCCAGGCGGCGAACGATACGATGCCATCGCTGTCGGCAGTTCCGCGGTCGGGGACGAAGTCCAACACGAAGACACCGGACTTCAGGAGGGCACGACCGATGAAGAGACCGCCCTTCCCGTGGTAAAGTCGGAACTCGTTGGAGAAGGAGTCGCACTCCAGGTGAATCCCCTTAGCCATTAGTTGGCTTACGCTTAGTAGGTTGTATCCCAGATTGTCGACGATGAGGACTTTGTTGAGCTGAAGAATAACGTTTGTCTCCATTGATTGTAACTGAACCACGCCTTGCCTGTTTGTTTTCAGGTTTTCGTTGTTGGCGACGGTGATGACGACGTCGCGGTTGAGGCGTCGCTCGTGTTGTACGAAGCGTCCGGAGGAGCACATGTGCTGACCGCAGCAACTGTCCAAGAACCAGGTGTTCCGCCCGGTGGGTTCGGCGTTAGCGACTGCAGCGTATGTCGGGTTGACCTGAAGTCCTTGCGAGCGCGGCGGCGGGAATTCCTCTTCGTCTGGTGCGTAAGTGGGTGGTGAAGCGGGTGCGCAGTTGTCGATGTGTACCATGCAGTTGATGATGTTGGGTGTTTGTTGTGCAGATGTTGAAGAGCGCCTTGGAGGACTTGCTTGAGTGGAAGCGACTTGTGGGTCTGCTGCACGGTAAACGCGAGGGCGGTTGCAGTTGACCTTGGAGTGCCCGGAAGTCTGACAGTTGTGGCAGAACGGCGGCACGATGGTGAGTCCTCGGTTGTCGCGTTGATCTTGCTTGCTGCGTCGGTTGTAGTTGTTGTCATTTCTTCTTTGAGTGTAGAAGACTAACTGCTGTTGCTTCCTTGGTTGTCTTTCCTCGAACAGATCCATCTCCTGTTGTTCAGCGTGAAGCTCGGCGCAGAGGTGCATCTCCGAAATTCTTCCGTGGGCTCGAAGAAGTGATCGTGTGGTTCTCCATTCTGGCCCGAGCCCGGCGAGGACAAGTGTCACGAAGCTTTCTTCAGTGATCGTTCCTCCGCACCGAAGCAGGCGGTCGCGGAGGGTCTGGCAGCGACTCATATACTGCATCGCCTTTTCCCCGGTCTTCATCTGTATTGTTGTCAGCTGTTGCATGAGTCTGCTTTGTGTCACGCTGTCGTTTGCTTGGTAAAGGCATTTGAGGTGGTGCCATGCGAGCTCCGCGGAGTTTCCATAACTCCGATACGTTCTGATGCTCTGCTGCTCTTGTGGTGACAGGTTTCTCAGGAGTACCGTGTACGCCAGCAGCGACTGATACGTGAAGATCTCTTGTTCCTTCCCAGTGCCGTTGCTTGGGAATGGCAGGGACCCGTTGAAGTATCCCAGAAGATGCGCGGCCTCCATCAGCAGCTCAAACTCGAAGCTCCAGGTAAAGAAGTCGTGTCCGTTGAACGGTGAGGATGTCTGAAGTTTGATCACGTGTGAGAACTGCGCCTGTAACTTAAGATTTCATTCGGTGTTTGTTGTGAAGCAGCTGCTGTTGGCTGGGCACGGGGCGGCATGAACTCGAACGTCCCCGGCGAAGAATGATAAGGCGCAAAGGTAGGCGCTTGGTTGTGTCGCCCGAAGGATGAGTTGTCGAGGCTCATCGGCGCTAATCCCATATTCCCTCCATTGCTCTGTGTTGAGTGCGCAGGTGTCCTTGTCTGCTGCTGCTGGTCGAAGTGTGACATGAAGCTGAAGAATCTCTCCATGAGATTCGGGTCCACACTTGAAGAGGAGACGGAGTCACCATCTCTGGTACTCTTCCCGTTGTTTCTTGAGTAGTCCCGGTCTCTGTCTGCAGTCCTGAGGTGTGCAGACCAGAGTTGCCGTGTTGAGTTTCTTGGGCGCTGGGTGAGCCCGTAGAGACTTTCTTGCCCTTGTTGTCCATGTCTTGTAATCAATGGAGTTGTTGAATCAAGTTGAGTTGCTGGTTGTTGATGGAGTGTAGTTGCTGGGAGTTTTGATCTCTGACCAGCTCTCATACCATGTTGGGCTGAGAAAAGCCCTTAGGATCTTTTACAGAGACTAAGTCCCAGCTGTTTGAGACTTGGAGTAGTGCAGCGGAAGTTGAGGCAGTTGAACCCTTGTACTAGTATGTGAGAACAAGTGATTGATTAAAGAAACAAGCATACAGCAATATATAGAAGATAAGAAAGCAGTTGTAGAATACAGTTACAGGAACGGTTTATCGAGTCGCACAGCGACTCGATTGCCGCTTCGGTTACCATCCGTGATGTTGTAACGGTCAGTCGCAACCTCCAGTTGCGACCTTTCGAGTCCTTTCGCATTCTTTGTCCGCCCCCTCGTGTAACCTCCGTTGACTCGCGTGCTCCCCTGTAATCTTCCTCGAGTACAGTGTTACACTTCAGAAACGCTTAAGTCCTTGAGATATTTCCAACAGACTTAGCATTCTGAAAAGATCCTAGGGCTGTTTTCAGCCCAACAACGGCCGCTCAGTTCCGTTACTGATCAACTCAACACCGGCACAAAAAGGTTACCCGCAATATGGTGGTGGTCAGATATTGCAACATATGTATACAGGTCATACGCTCAAGGAAACAGTCCCTCTAGCACATTGAAGGAAGGGGTCTGGTGTGACGCATCATAAGGGCGGTACAAGTGTAGCATATGCTGCTGGCAACACAGCAGGCGAGCGCAGCTAGCCATAGAGGAGGAAGAAGAAGACAAAGAGGTAGACAGCCATGGTGAAGACGGCAGAGATGTGTTGGAAGAAGAGCACCGCCGACACCTCCTGCTCTCCGAACCCCCGCAGGCTGCACGCCGTGCCTGCAGCACATGGGAGGGGTGAATACGTGTTGAACTCAAGTTGAGGCCACTCAGGTTTGTAGCCAATACTTGCGGTTGCATGGGAACCCATGAGCCTGCAGGCCAGCATGCTCCCATCATGCCTCACCTATCTGGATGGATGAGGGCATGGCATGTTGCAGCAGCAGCACGAATCGGAACATCTTGTCGCCAGGCGGCAGCAGGCCTAGTCGGTCGGCAGAGAGCACCAGCGCAATGCCCACCAGCGGCACCAGCACCAGGCGGGTTACCACCACCGCTAGCGTCGTGCGCATGGGTAGCGCCGACGCCCCTGGGCCTGGTGGGGGGGACAATAAGGGCAACATGGACGGAGCGACATGGGGAAAGGCTATGAGCGGCAGCAGCAGCAGCAGCAGCAGCAGCAGCAGCAGGCAGATGATACGATGAGAGCAAGAAGCGCATGGAGAGAGCCGATGGCCGTGGATGCGGATGTAGCCGATGGCCGTGGATGCGGATGTAGCGGTGGCTGGCGTCTGGTCACGGCGACAGGGCAACACGGCCTTGCTGTGCGAGTGAGAGGGGTGTGTTGATAGCGCGAGATGGGGGGGGGGGAGTAGTGTGGGTGATCTCCGCGGCACTAGCCTCTGCGAGTTCAATGTGAGACATCCCAACCAGCGCAGCTAAGAGACGCGAGCGCAGCATGGCGGAATAAAGCTACCGATGGAAGCCTGAGAGCGATGAGGACCATGCTGAGAACAACTTGTCAACCACCCCACACTCTGACCCACAACTGACTTGGATCGCGTCAACACAAGCCAACACAAGTTCAGCACAGACAGCTCAACTCCCATTTCACACCGCAAAGCAGCGCACTGACCCTTGACGAGGTTGGCCCCCAGCACGAGCAGAATGCACGGAATCATGGCCTGCCTGCTCGTGGGGGAGAGAATGACACGGCAGGCAGGCAGGCAGGCAGGCAGGCATGGACACGAGAGAGGGGGGTGTGAGAGGCCAGAGGAAGAGGGGGAGAGAGTGAGAGAGAAAAGGGCCAGGGGAACGGCTGGTAACACTTATCCACAGACGACATGATGTGTGTACCCAAGCTGCAGTAGCACTTGGTCGGGCACTGCTACTCAGAGTCATGCGAGTTCCTTCAATTCGCTCAAGGCACACCGACACTCACCCAGCAATGCAAGCGCATTTGCGGTGAAGGCCAGGGAAGAAGAGAATCTAACAAGCGCCACAAGTGGCATGCGTCGAATCAGCACACATGCACACATGCGGCACTCACCCTAGCACTGCGAGGGCGTCGGAGAGGAAGCGCAGGGCGCCGTCCTTGTGGAAGAAGAGGAAGTCGAGCTCCGGCACCATGCCGATCAGCATCGCCAGACACTGGGGGGGGAGGGGGGGAGGTGGTGCGCGGTGATGTGGCACGTGGAGAAATCAGGAAGTGGAAGGAAAGAGAGAGGAAGGGGGGGCGAAGAAGCATATCTGGGCACCAAAAGCGATGGTAGATGGGGCAAGGGAGGGTGGCGGGCAATGAGAGACCACCCGCCATGAGTGAACAGCAGAGCTAGGACAAAGCGATTCGGAAGGAGGCGCGGTGCAGGACAGGTACAGGTGACGACAAGAGAGAGCATAGGTGGTACAGGATGGCAGGCGACAGCACTAGTTCATGTGGAGCTTGGAGCATTTGAGGTGAGCACAACAAGGCACAGGGAGATGGAAGATAGCAGAGGAGCATGGCCGGGGAGGGCGCATACGGCAGCGAGGACGGGCGGGCGGAAGATGTCGTAGATGTGCAGCGCCTTGAGCACCTCGCCCAGCTGCCGTGGCGGACGAGGGCGAGTGGGGGGGCAGAGGATAAGGAATATGGTGAGGAGGACTTGCTGCAGTTAGGCTTTGAGATCCAACTGGAAGATGTTGAAGATGTGCAGCGCCTTGAGCACCTCGCCCAGCTGGCACAGGCAGGTCGGAGAGGGAGATTGGGAGTGGAGGCAAGGGGTGTGGTAACAGATGAAGAGGTGCGACCAGCTCGAGCTGATGGGTGGAGGACGCGAGGGGGAATAGGAGAGACGAGTGAGGATTGCAGTGAATGGGGTGGACAGGTGCGCCTGGGCAGGCCAAGCCAGCATGATGCAGCTGTACCCACTCAGCACTGCCTGCTGCAGCTTGCCCCACTGCTTTATGTCTACCACCTAGCGGCTCACAGTGTTGGGCGCGCGCACGAGGATGGCCACCGACGCCTTCCTCAGCGTGCGCGAGGCGGTGCGCGCCACGCTGCTCGTGCGGCTGCTGCCAAACGCGCGCCCCCCCCGCAGCGACCCCTCGTGGTGCTGGCCTGGCTCCATCGCCCTTGCGCTGCCCAGCCGTGGCACGGACGCCCCCTGCCCCTCCGCTGCTGCTGCTGCGGGCGTGGGTGAGAGAAGAGGGGAGCGCAGGGCACCACTGCCAGCACTGCCAGCAGCAGCAGCAGCACCATTCGAGCCGCCAATGCGGCCAAAGCCAGCAGCACCAGGCGAGAGGTCAACATGGTGGGTGCGGCGGCCCTCCCCCGGCGCTATGGGCCTGGACGACACCGCCTCCACGCCCACGCCCAGCGCTGCTTCCCACCCCCCATCCACCTCCCACCCCTCGCCCTGCGACTCCCCATCCCCCTCAGAGGCGTCGTCGTCCCCCTCGTTGTCGGCCTCCTGGTACGGCACCATGGGCGCGTCCACGTACTTGTGGTCGATGCCAAAGTGGTCCAAGGGGCGCACGTAACCCGGTAACCACTCCTCGGGTGGCGCGAGGATGTTGTAGACCGTGCTCCACATGATGATGGCCGCCATCTGCGTGCCACCAGGTGCGCCATGGGGGAGGGGTGGGGGCGAACGAGGGAGCAGGGGCGAAGGGGACGGGGGGGGCGGGGGGGACAGGGAGGACAGGGGGGGAGGGGAAGGAGAGAGGCGGGCAGGCAGAGTGATTGTTTAGAGATGCCTTGAAGCAGGGAGGGGAGGGAAGCAGAGGGGCAAGAGGGCACGATGGAGGCCGATGAGGATGGTTGGATGCGCAACATAGTGTGAGGCACATGGCTGTGAGCGCCTGACATAGTTGCCAAACTTATGTCAAACACCCACACGTGCTGCGCCATGCAGGCGGTGCATGCGCACATGCCCAGATGCCACATGTTTGATACATGTATCGCATGGAGAAAGAAGTGAATGCACCCACATGCCAACAGATACGCACATGCCCACATCCCAGAGATGCGCAAATGCGTACATACTGGCAATGCCCGATACATCAAAGCACACACCCACATGGATGTACCCGCATGCACGCACCAACATGCACGTACCCACATGCATGAGCCTCATGCACGCACCCCCACGTACGCACCCCCATGCACGCAACCCCACGTACGCACCCCCATGCACGCAACCCCATGCACGGACCCCCATGCACGCACCCCATGCACGCACCCCATGCACACACCCCCATGCATGCACCCACATGCCCATGCACGCACTCACATGCCCATGCACGCACCCACATGCCCATGCACGCACCACATGCCCATGCACGCACCCACATGCCCATGCACGCACCACATGCCCATGCACGCACCCCATGCACGCACCCCCACGTACGCACCCCCATGCACGCAACCCCATGCACGCACCCCCATGCACGCACCCCCATGCACGCACCCACATGCCCATGCACGCACCCACATGCCCATGCACGCACCCACATGCCCATGCACGCACCACATGCCCATGCACGCACCCACATGCCCATGCACGCACCACATGCCCATGCACGCACCCCATGCACGCACCCCCACGTACGCACCCCCATGCACGCAACCCCATGCACGCACCCCCATGCACGCACCCCCATGCACGCACCCACATGCCCATGCACGCACCCACATGCCCATGCACGCACCCACATGCCCCTGCGCGCACCCACATGCCCATGCACGCACCCCCATGCACATACCCCATGCACGCACCCCCATGCATGCACCCACATGCCCATGCACGCACCCACATGCCCATGCACGCACCCACATGCCCATGCACGCACCCACATGCCCATGCACGCACCCACATGCACGCACCCCCATGCACACACCCCATGCACGCACTCCCATGCATGCACCCACATGCCCATGCACGCACCCACATGCCCATGCACGCACCCACATGCCCCTGCGCGCACCCACATGCCCATGCACGCACCCCCATGCACATACCCCATGCACGCACCCCCATGCATGCACCCACATGCCCATGCACGCACCCACATGCCCATGCACGCACCACATGCCCATGCACGCACCCACATGCCCATGCACGCACCACATGCCCATGCACGCACCCCATGCACGCACCCCCACGTACGCACCCCCATGCACGCAACCCCATGCACGCAACCCCATGCACGCACCCCCATGCACGCACCCCCATGCACGCACCCACATGCCCATGCACGCACCCACATGCCCCTGCGCGCACCCACATGCCCATGCACGCACCCCCATGCACATACCCCATGCACGCACCCCCATGCATGCACCCACATGCCCATGCACGCACCCACATGCCCATGCACGCACCCACATGCCCATGCACGCACCCACATGCCCATGCACGCACCCACATGCCCCTGCGCGCACCCACATGCCCATGCACGTACCCACATGCCCCTGCACGCATTCCCATGCCCCTGCACGCATCCCCATGCCCCTGCACGCACCCACATGCCGAGTGAGATGTAGGCGGTGCCGAGCTTGTTGCACTCCTGGTGCCCTCCGAAGGGGTTGCGCGCATCGGAGCACACCGCCGACAGCAGCACCAGCGGCATGTTGCCCATGTTGCCTGCACAGCACGGGATGTTTCAGGGGGGTTGGGGGGAGGGCGGAGAGGTGGTTTGAGACGCCTGAAAGGGCGGCAACAGCAGTACCCATGGCCAGGGGAGTTGACAGGGGGGAGTATGACGGAGGGAGGGGAGCACGTAATGGGTGCGGAGGAGCAAGAAGCACGAACGGGCCTGGATGGGTGAGAGAACAGGACAAGGGAGGGAGGCACTGCGATACTGGCAACAAAGCAACACTGGTTGACGGGGGGTGCATTGGTGGGGAAGTGCATTGGATTGCTTGGGGAGGAGGCAGGACCTGACCGATGCCTGTGAGGAGGAGAGGCAGGACCTGACCGATGCCTGTGAGGACGAAGACGAGGCGGAAGAACTCGGGCGGGCAGTCGGTGAGCCACGCCACGAGCATGCCGAGTGCACAGCCGATGAGCGACGCCAGCACCACGTTCACGGGGATGAACCACCTGACGCCGGGGGGGAGGGGCGAGGGCAGGGAGGGCCGGGTATGAGGGGGGGGGATGTGGTGCCGCATAAAGGGCGAGCATTCGGAGGTAGAAGGTTGTGATAGAAGAGTGGAGGAGATTAGATGGATAGGGCATGGGACCATATTGCGCTGCATAAGCAATGGTGGATACTAGAAAAACTGTTCAGAATCTTTCCGAGTTCACGTGGATGGGCGGCAGAAAGGAGACGAGGGGCTGCGGCATGAGGGGATGACGGCAGAGCGAGGAGTGGATGATGACAGAGCGAGGAGTGGATGACGACAGAGCGAGGAGTGGATGACGGCAGAGCGAGGAGTGGATGACGACAGAGCGAGGAGTGGATGACGGCAGAGCGAGGAGTGGATGACGGCAGAGCGAGGAGTGGATGACGGCAGAGCGAGGAGTGGATGACGGCAGAGCGAGGAGTGGATGACGGCAGAGCGAGGAGTGGATGACGGCAGAGCGAGGAGTGGATGACGACAGAGCGAGGAGTGGATGACGACAGAGCGAGGAGTGGATGACGGCAGAGCGAGGAGTGGATGACGACAGAGCGAGGAGTGGATGACGGCAGAGCGAGGAGTGGATGACGGCAGAGCGAGGAGTGGATGACGACAGAGCGAGGAGTGGATGACGGCAGAGCGAGGAGTGGATGACGACAGAGCGAGGAGTGGATGACGGCAGAGCGAGGAGTGGATGACGGCAGAGCGAGGAGTGGATGACGGCAGAGCGAGGAGTGGATGACGGCAGAGCGAGGAGTGGATGACGACAGAGCGAGGAGTGGATGACGACAGAGCGAGGAGTGGATGACGGCAGAGCGAGGAGTGGATGACGACAACATGACAACAGCCAGAGGAGGCGTGGGACACGCGAGTACCATTGGAGGAGGTTGTGGAAGGAGATGGCCTCGCCCAGGTTGACGAAGATGATGGCCGGCAGGAACACCGTGAACACCAGCTGGGGGGGTGAGCGGGGGGGTTGGGGGGGTTGGGGGGGAGGCGGTGAGTGGGAGACGGCGAAAACGGGCACAGCCACGTGGAGGAATCGCGCAAAGCAAAGGAACATAACGGCGCATGCTCCGCGTGTCCTTGCACTCAACAGGGTGGCAGCCGTCCGTCTGGCGAATATCAAGGGACGTGGGCAGGCGTGTTGGGAGACGCCGTCTCACGTTCACTATCCTGGCACTTCAGGCGCGTGGCCTTCCCAATCCCTGCCCAGCCATGCCCACCCCTGCCTCTCAGATCCTCAATGTGCCAGCACCCCCTTATCCAGGTCTGTGTCCACCCTTCCTCGCCCATCCCCCTCATTTCCCTCCCCTCATCCTGCCTGCTTTATCCAGCTGCACCTTCGAGCCTTGAACCACTTCATCCTAACAACCGCGCTGCATTCCCTTACACCTCGTCCCCCCCTTACCCGCCTTCCCGCGAGTCATTCCTCCCCGTTCGCTCCCTCTGCTCTAGCCTCCCTCCCCACTTTCCATGCATATCTCACCGCCCGCTCCTCGCATCCCCCCCCCCCAATAGCCCTTCGTCAGTCTGCCTCCCGCTGCCTCACGCCTCTACCCTCCTCGCGCCCTGCGTGTATCCCTCCGCCTGTCTCCCCTGCCCTTCCCCGTTCCCTCCCTTTCCCCTCTCAGCATCCCCCCCCTCGCCCCCTGTCCCCAGTGCCCTCCTCGCTGCTGCACCCCATCGCCGCACCTTGCTGAGGCTCTTCCGCGCGTCGGCGTGCAGCACGTCGAAGTACGGCAGCGCGAAGATCAGCCCGGTGGCGGCGATGAGGAGCACCTTCACCACGGGCAGCACGGAGCTCATCACCAGGAAGCTCAGCGGCAGCGCCGCTAGCCGCGCCGTCGCCTGCGCCTCCACTCCCGCGGACAACATGGCGCGAGGAAGGGGAGAGAGAGAAATGGGGAACTGGGTGGTGCGAACTAGGTTGTGGATCAGATTCTGGAAGCTGCGCGCTGAGTCCCTTGAAGCGTCGCCTCGTGACTGGCCTCCGCCCCGCAGGGAAAAGACCGCGAGAGCCGGTCGCCCCGATTGGGTTGGCGGATGCACGACGCGGCAGTCGTGGCGAGCCGCGCCGCACGGCGGACGGCGAGGTCTGAGAGTGCCGCTTGAGTGCTCGAGTATGTGCGCTCGTGGCTGTCGCCGATTGGTTGGTGACGCCGCGCTTGGACGGTCAGGCAGGGCGGAGCTGGAGTCGTGGGCACGGAGGGGATGCCACGCGAAGCGGGGAAGGCAGTAAAATGCTAATTTCCGGTTCGCGTGCTGTGGCTCGTAACGAGTAGTCACGGCCGCCTAATTGAAGGAAGGGGCTTCAATAATGAACGCTAGTATAATCTAGAATAGACCCACAAGTGTCATGTAGAAGCAGGCTGAACCACTCGAGTCTCCGAGTCTCGACTCCACAACGGCTGGCCACGTGAAGGGGAGGCCACGGGAGGAGGTTATGAGGTGAGCTTTGGGGGCGAGGCGGCAAGGGAGGTTGTCTGTTGGTGCAGTGAAGCTGGACTGATGGAGGCTTGAGAAGCTATGCGACGCCTGTCGCAGCTGGTTACCTAAGTCGTTAGGCAGGTTGAAGGGTCACATGGAGGGGATCCCAGTGAATTGCGAAAGCATCGAGGTTTGGGGGAGACGAGCGCCTTTCATTTGTAGCCAATAGGGAAAAGGGTGACGAAACCACTTTCTGATGCTGACAAATTCTGTCCAATCGCATTTCCCTACCTTTTTCGACGAATGGGTTTTTAGGGTGTGCATTGGGACTATCCCAAGCGAACGTCTGACTACGGTTGGGTGCGGTGTTTGTGTCTAAGAAGAGTCGAATGTCAAACCTATAACGTACTTTTAGTGCCTCAAAAGCTTGAGATGGAATTTCAACCACACTGAACCCGGGCTAACCCTCGCTGCACCTTAGCAAGCCATGTCCCCCACTTGCTGCAACAAGGCAAACAGAATGTAAGGAATTTACATTCCTTACTGAGTCGTACGCTAGCGTGTACACCCAAACTCCTGGACTCGTCACGTTCGGCCTCATTTGTAGGCCCAACCCTTTCCCGAGTCGCGTCCGGCACTGTCGCCACATTGCCGAACCTACCCACGTTCCGAGGTTATCGCCCCGTCCTAACCGCCATGGCCCCGGTAGATTCGACGGTTGAGAGACTGTCCACCTCGACTGCTGCGAACCCTGCCCGGGAAACTGTGGACCTACAAACATTAATGGAGCAGTTGAAGAATTTGACAAGCGTCGTCAACGACCTCCGCGACGAAAACCAGCGACTTCGCCAAGCGCAGGAGAGGCGTCCAGAGGAGCCGGGCGACGATGCACGAAGCGAGGCGGGTGAGCAGCAACCGTCGCCAGTGGAGCTGGCACGACTAGCGGCAACAGCCCCGCGCTCGACAAGTGGCGGCGTAAGATATCAGCAACCCGCTCCTTTCGACCCAGCTAATAAAGGCGTGACGGTGCGGCAGTGGATATTCGCCATGAATATCTATTTTAACGCGGTGGGCATTAGAGACGATCAGAAGCGTATCAGCCAAGCGTTAACACTGTTGCAAGGGGCCGCCCTACAGTGGTGGAAGGTCATCGTCGACTCAGCGGCAACTCGCACAGAAGGACAGCACGAGTGGTCCGAAGAATTCGGCAACGAAGACAAGGCAGATCTGTTGTTCGGAGCGACCCACATTCGCACGTCGGCAACGTGGTGCGCAGAGCTTCGCAAGCGGTTTGAGCATGCACCTGACTCAGACAAGGCACGTGAAACTGTACGCATGCGGAAGCAACTGGGATCTGTGTCCGAGTACACCGCGTCATTCCTGACGTTGGTGGACAGATGTGGCTACATGCACGAGTTGGAGAAGGTCGACAGGTACATGGGCGGCTTGAAGCCTGAAATACAGTACCAGATAAAACTGCAACGCCTTGCGAAGCGGTTACAAGACTACATCCAGCTCGCCGAAGCCGCTGATTCGATCACGGAGCCGAGGACGAACTTCTACGACGGAGGTCGCCCTCGAGAACAGTACCAGCGCGCCACGATAAAAGGGGTGGACGCAGTGGATATTTGGGCAGTTTCTCCGCAAAATACAGGGCTATGCTACTACAGTGGCCGGCCGGGTCACATCCGACGCAACTGCCAAGAATTCATCGCCCTCCAGAATTCTATGGGGAAGAAGCCGGAGGAGCGACCGGGAAACGGGTCGCGTCAGTAAGTACCGGGCCCCTTACTGACGGGCATGCTTCTTTGCCCAAACCACACAGTCCCCACTGGGTCGTGATCCCGATTGCTGCAATCGACCGGACCCGGACGAATAAGGGGGACGAAACTGTTGGTCACCCTGTGTTGGTGGAGGGTAAAGTCAACGGGGTATTATTGAAGAATTTCGTTGATGGAGGCGCGAGTCACAGTCTCATACAACTGGACAGGGCTAAAAAATTGGGTATGCCCTTATTCAGGTGTTTACCTGAAATCGACGCCCGACTGGTGGATGGAACACCGTTGGCAATATGGGAACGGGAGGAGAACGTTAATTTTACCTGCGGAGAATATGTAAAATTTCGGATGGGACTACTCGCGACCACTCTCGACGGGTGCGATGTGCTGCTGGGACGTGATTGGTTGCGAAGGTACAACCCGAAGATTGAGTGGACGACGGGCGGCTGCAGCATCAAGCTCGATGGGATTTCCCACGAGCTGCCCAAGTAGACGGGTCCTCGCATGCGAAGCACCCAAGTCCATGCGATCACTTTCAAGCGCGCGATGAAGGCGGGAGCGTACGCCGTTGATCTTCGCGAGGTGACATCGACGGTTGAGACCGAAGATATCGAGAAGCTGTGCAAGGCCGTCCCTCCGGACTTAGCGGACCTGATTCGGAAATACCCATAGATTTTCCTGGACGATCTGCCAGCTAGACTCTCGCCAAGCCGGCCTGAGGACCACCGAATCGAGCTGGAACCAGGCGCCCAACCGATGGTACAGCGCCAATTTCGGCTAAGCCAACCAGAAGTCGAAGAATTACAACAGCAGCTGGATTACCTTCTGACGAAAGGTTTTATCTGGCCCAGCACGTCACCATACGCCGCCACGATACTGTTCATGCTGAAGAAGGATGAAGGATTCAGAATGTGTATCGACTACCGTTTGCTCAATCGGATCACCACCAAGTCGCGTTACCCGATCCCGCGAGCCGACGAACTTCGTGGCACCAAGTTTTTCTAAAAATTCAACTTGCGAAGAGGTTACCATCAGATTCGCGTCGCCTCCGAAGACTGTCACAAGACGGCATTTCGAACCCGCTACGGCAGCTACGAGTACCTGGTGATGCCTTTTGGCCTCACGAACGCGCCCTCGACCTTCCAAATGACCATGAATGGAATTTTGAGGGAACTCTTGGACAAATGCCTCATTATCTACCTCGACGACATACTAATCTACAGCCGCAGCGGAAAGCAGCACTTACAGGATCTTGATGCAGTCTTCACGCTGCTGCACAAGAATCGCTTCATCACCAAAGGGTCTAAGTGCGACTTTCTTTAGCAGGAGTTGGAGTTTCTGGGACACATCTTCTCTACTGAAGAAGTGAAAATCGACCCCAAGAAAATCAAGACCATACAGGAATGGAAGCTGCCAAGCAACATCAAGGAGCTGCAGAGCTTTTTGGGTTTTGTCAACTACGTCCGCAGGTTTATAACCAATATGGCAGGGTTATCTGCCCCGCTAACCGACCGCCTCAAGGATTACGATTTTTTTTTGTGGAGAGAGAAGCAGCAAGCTGCATTCGACCAACTGAAGATCGGGCTCACATCGCCGCCCGTCCTTCGCATCTCCGATTCTGACCATCAATACAAAGTCATCACCGATGCTAGTGACATCGCCACCGGCGCAGTTCTTCTACACGATTTCAGCGAAGGATTACAGCCAGTCGCCTACGAATCACAGAAGCTGCAGGTCGCAGAGAAAAATTAACACAATACACGACAACGAAATGTTGGCGATCGTCCACGAGTTCAAGACCTGGCGGTGCTACTGCATATAAAGAGGAGAACACAATCAAGGTTCTCGCAAGTGAGAATCTACAGGAACCAGATCAAGCTGCAAACAGTGCCGCTGATGATCTTTAGGCGCAAGCGCCTTAGTAAAGATATCAGCTGTGTTGGCACCGGAGGCCAAGTGTACTACGCGGGCCTGGCGACGCTGCTGAAGCTCGCGCAGGAGGAAGTACCGCAGCTGGATGTGCTTTGCTCTGCCTTCAAGTCGAGGCTCCTGACACAGGAGGATCATGGCCCTGTTGTCGGCGTACAGAACCAGGGCAGAGCTAGGCCGCTCACCTAAGTTGGTGAGCAATAAGGTCAGCCAGCAGAGCTCCTGTGCCGCCATGGCACCGGCGTAGATCTCAGCCTCACAGCTAGACTGGGCAACAGACGAGGAGCGAGTGGACCTCCACGAGATGGCACCCAAACGAAGGCTAATGCAGTAGCCATGGGAGGACCTGAGGGTCTCAGCGTCGTCTGCCCAAGAAGCGTTTGTGTGCCCAGTAAGGACCACTGGTCTGCATCCTCCCAGCACTAGCCCCATGCCCGATGTACTTGCTGGATAACGCAAAACCCTCTTAGCGGCCGACCAGTGCTATGATCGGTGTCTTGCTATGGCCACAAAGCGAGCCAGGATGCTGAGAGGGTATGCGAGATCTGGACGAGTGCAAGTCATCAGGTACATGAGGCAACCCACCAGCTCTGCGTTAGAACCAGTAGGCTCTACTGACTCGTAAGGAACTGGAGCTGAGAGCCTGTGGTCTACTGATAGAGGTGTGGGCTGTGCGGAGGAGAACTAAAGACCGAACCTCTGAAGGACCTGGCACATCAAGTATGACTCAATGAGTGTGATGGTGCAAGCTGCTCTGTCCCTGGAGATCTGCAGGCCAAGGTAGCGGTACAGCTCTCCTAGGTCAGCTCGGCCTTCATGGAGGCCAGCGCGTCTCTGTCTGCAGCAGTGAAAATGAAGTCGTCTACGTAGACAAGGATGTAGAATGGAGCTTGGCCAGCACGAACAAAGAGCGAGGGGTCTGCAGAAGACAAAAATAATTGCAGGTCAGCTAGCGTAGCACGCAGCGTGTCGTGCCACTCACAGGGCGCTTGTCACACGCCGTAGACTGGGTGCCGGAGGAGCCACTGGGTCCCAGGATGGAATGTACCGGTGAAGCCCTAAGGACGGTGTAGGTAGACCTGCTCATGTAGGATGCCCTGAAGAAAAGCAGTGGAGAAGTCGAAGGAGTGGAGCTCGTAGTCATGCTATGCTGCTACGTGAAGCAGTGCCCGAAGAGTAGTCATCTTCGAGGTCGGGGCGAGGGTCTGAAAGAAGTCCACCCCCTCTCGCTGACTGAAGCCTCGAGCCACGTAGCGCGCCTTGAA